ACACACACACACACACACACACACACAGGGGCGAAGGCTGACACGTTTGACGGGGTAATCATTGTGAGATAAGGAATCAGGTAGAGATGTCACATAAGAATAGATTTCCCACATTGGGAACCTTCTTATTCGAGCCGGCATCATTGAGTTGTAAATGAAAACAAGTCCTGAATATATGTCGTATGTTCAACCGCCAAATAATCGAAAAATATCTCTTGAAATATTTATTCCCATTAACACTAAATTTAACTACAGATGTGAATACAAAAACAAAAAGCAAAGGAACAGACATGGGAATGCTACAAATGTAATATTGACAATAAGCAATTTGATTTCAAATCTGGCTGCTTTTTGTCTAGTTTTTCGATGCCTGGAGCTGGTGTCATAATCGAGGTCACTATCTGATCATAGGACGTAACAGGTCGAGGAAAAAAACAAGCCCTCACACCAATCATGAGATTATTAGAAGATAGTTCCCCTCATCCTTGTGAGTAGACTCGACCAGTCTAATTGTTAGTTTACACTATGTCATTATGCTTGTGACTGCTTATAAAAGGGATGAAATAGTTTGAGTGCCATTCGAATGTTCCCTACACTTCTTTGGGGTATACTCTACCTGCCTTATTTTAAGCTTACGTAATCAGTGCTTGTTACATCTTGGAGTGGCGCGAAAAGGAGTGAACATTCAGTGAAACAGTTTTGAATGGTGTATACACTTTTCATTGGTGATTAAGAACGTATATTTACATTAAATTTATCATACCTACTTTTATTGGTGAATTTGACTGCAACGATGTTCCAAAATTAGGACGGGAAGCAGTGATTATTTGATTATTATTATAGACGAGTTACCCCTGCACACACAATTTTTCTCTTTATCTATCTATATCTGGACATTGTACCAAAACTATTCCAAGATGCTCAACCATTTTCATAAGAAATATCTCAACAGAATTTTTAACATCTAATGGTAAGACAAAATACCAGACAACGAGGTTCTTAAAAACTGCCGAGAGCCTGTTTAAGCTCAAAATGACTTAACTTCGCTGAGCTGGTCATGTCATAAGAATGCCTGATTTCAGAACTTCGCACCACCAAAAGTGCTATAAAGATTCCCTGAAAATGTCACAGGAGAACTTCAACAGTAATTCACAGATCAGTTGGAGAGCAGTGATCACAAAGGTGAAAAAAATCTTTTCAGGGTTCACGAAAGAGAAATGCTGAAACCAAGAGAGAAGCTCTCAAAATACGTACATGGACATGACATGGAAATGAGGCTTTAAATTGCTCAAAACGAGGCAAACTCTTCTCTGCCGGAGTTGATCCAATTCGCCATAGCAGAAGCCACAAATCATCTTAACTCCTCTATTTCTCTTTAAGAAACATTCTCCCCTGCAGATCCATTGGCATTCCAGACACTGACAGACGATATAATATTACTAATGCAACAATAAACAAAACATATCTATCTATCTGTCTATCTATAATACACGTAATTCTCTGCCTATTTTTTTATCCAACTAACAGTCTGTCTGTCTGTCTGTCTGTTTGCCTGTCTGTCTGTCTGTCTGTCTGTTTATATAATTATGTACATGTCTGTCTGTCTCTTTAACTTTGGAGTCCACAGACATGCAAGGCCCGTGATTACGAAGGAAGGCATTCAGGAAAAAACTCAGCTCCGCAGGATCCTCACCACACCCTATTTCCCGGCCCAAAGAATAATTATTATGGCCAATAGCTTGCTATATCCTGTACACAACCAAGGTGAGTCGGGACGGAGGAGTGGGTTTTAAGAAGGTTGCGTCTGTGTGTGTGTGTGTGTGTGTGTGTGTGTGTGTGTGTGTGTGTGTGTGTGTGTGTGTGTGTGAGAGAGAGAGAGAGAGAGAGAGTTTGTGTGAGTGTGTGTATTGAGGAGCGAGGGGGGGGGCAAGGTAAGAAGGGTCGAAACGGACTTGTTTGGGGATTTCGGCCGTGGTTCAAGGTAACGC